AATGGATGCTGTGTGGATGATTTGAATGTCTATCAGGAGTGACTGTTAGAGTTTTGACAGTTGAAAAAGTCAGTTGAGGGGAGTTAAGCTATGTATGAGAGAGAAGGATAAGCTTCCCTGTGGGGGTTGTTAAGTTCTGAAGTCTGTGAGAGAAGCCGTCTGTGTTGAAACAGTTATAAGCTGAAGTTGAATGTATAAGAAACAGTTAACGTATATGGCCTAAGGAAAATATTGTTACAAAGTGACATGCCCAGATCCCTGTCAGTAAAAGAGAAAAGTGTGTTAGACACCAAGCATGTGTTCAGTATTTAAGCCTTTCTGGTTACAATCAGTTAATCTTTTATTTGTGAATTACTTCAATAAATCCTCTTTTATTTAAAATTATCCACTCTGAAAGAAATACTTCCCAGGACCACATAGACCCTCGTGAACGCCTAAAACCCTCGACATTCCTACCCAGAAATAGAGAAAGCATAAAGGTTTGGAAATCCTTTTAAAATTTCCTGGTGGCAGCCGGATATATAGAGTAAAACAAAACTGAAAGAACATTTTAAAGTAAACCCAGACCTCTCCAGTTAAGGGGTCATCACAGGTTCAAACCCAGTTTTGCTACCATTCACCCTATTTCTGGGCAAAAGGCAGGATTTTCCTTATGGCCAACATTCCCCTTCCTGGGAATGAAACTCATTCCAAGTTTGCCATGTGGATGCCCTTCCCTGGTGAGCTATGTGGGGGGACAGAATGAAGGTGCAGCTGTGTGTTCACCTATTGTTGCCATATTGCTGGCTGGCAAAAGGGAATTCAGCTTCATGTGGGGAATCAAACCCATGTCTGTGGAACTCCCTGGAGTCTCTCCACTCCAGAGCTACTGATGCTCGTCCCTGACCTTGAAAGCTGCAGGGAGCTCCCTTGCTTCCAATTCTCCACACATGGGAGGAGGCCATGTGAAATCCATGGGCAATTGCCACATCACCAGGTTGGTCCTTGATACGTGGGCATTGCTAGGTCTGCTAGAGAATCCGCTTATTAGGGGGGGGATTTCCGCCATTTTTTAAAATTCAACGCTTCAACAAACTCACGGTTCAACGTCATTCTCGTCATTTCATCTCAGGTAAGGTTAATTTCGCCAGATCCCCACACGCTTGTCCCGGTCAGCAGCTCCTGTTCCATGCGGAAGCAAAGCGGCAGCACTGTCGGGGCAGAAGGGAGCTTCAATTCACCGGCTGCGTGCCCTGGGAGAGGCAACTCTTTAGCATCCCATGGCTAAGAGCCCTTCACAAAGGCTCCGGGGGGGGCGCTCCCAACCGCCAGCTCACAGCTTGCATTCCTGGGAGCACCCAGGGGAGGTGGCTGCCATTGAGTTGCCAATAACTGGAAATCGTTTGTCATTTATTTTCCTTCTGTGATAGGATGCTGACCAGTTGTGCTGTGCTAGGTGGCACCCTGCCAGTGTAAGTGTACCACAGCCAGTGGGTTCAAAGGATGGGGCAGTTAAACAGTTTACTGCTATTGCACAAAAACACTGGGAAAATGTAAACAGCTGTTGAAGGCATAACATAGCAGGAATCATACCTGATAGCTTCTTTTCCCTGAAATTCTGAAGATACAGGTTCAGTAATCTCACTGAAATTTAAGTTCTCAGTGATGCTAGCCTCATACAGTTCCTTATAATTTCTTGTTTGTTTTAGCCAAAATGAAGGCTTCAGGAAGAAGAATGAGCTTCGACGCAACCCATATTCCCCTAAGCAATACAAGTAGAAACATAAACATTAAATACAGGCTGGACTCAGTATATAAGGTGCACATATTTTGATGGCATTCCAAAGTTTTTAGCTTGCTGAACAGGCTTATACTCTTTATTGTGGGCACAGATCCTTATAATTGAAACTTTCTAGTTCTACAAAAACTCATAAGAGCATGTGTTTTTAACATTCAGCAAGAGCTAGTATTTAATTACTTTGCACATATTGATCTGGGGATATAGACGCTTAATTACTTTTTCTGAATCCAGCAGGAAAACACATAAAAACTCTCTGCAGAAAAGTTTTGAACAGCAGCCTGAAAGAATTTCTTCACACATTTAGAGAACTTATTTACAGTTTCTTTTAATTGTAATGCACGGTGAGTAAAAGTAACCTGAGATGTTCAATGTGATGCTGGTGAGGCAAAAGTACTTCATTGTAAGATTTTGCACTTGCAGTGTCTTGTTTAAACTGGTTGGCCACCCATGCAAAACAGTTACACATATTTAGATCAGAGACGTAAAATTTCCAAAAATGTTAAAGCTATGAGAAACACATTCCCACTTTTTTTCTTTTCCGATAAAAACAGAAATTTTGGGGGAAACCAGAATATGTGCAACAGTTATCTTATCAAACAAACTTATTGTACTACTTTAACCACCAAAAAAAGTACCATATGTATTATAGTTTATACTAAGAGGTAGGAAAAATGAACATTGAAAATAGAAAACAAGTTCTATAGTAAACAAAAGAACGATAATGTTTGGATAGAAAGTCTCATACCATCACAATAGGACTAGTAATATATTTGGATATTGGGTTACACTGAATTCATCAATAGTATATTATTACCATACATATAATAACATATTAATTGTGGACATAATTAGTCACATTTAAACAATAAAAGCACCTTTGAAAACATTTTGATGTAATGGTGTAGATTGTTTTACATGAAAAAAATCTTCATGCTACATATTCTGAATGAGTAAAATCTTGCCTGAAAATATTTTATTCATTTCATAACAGAACATAATTGCAGTTTTTTTCAGTGCGCCGCTTTCCATTGGAAAATTTTCATCCCAGGTCTTCACATCTTTAGGTTTGATGGGGTCATCAAATCTTTTTGACCGTACAGGCAGCTTTGGAATTTTGAGAGCAAGCAGTAGGAATCACCCCAAAATGCCTGCCACAGGAGGTAGAGCCAAACCCAAAGTGGCTGCCACAGGAGGTGGAGCCAAATGCAATATCTCTCTGCCTTACTATGCAAAAGGATATGAGAAGGCATCTCTCTGCCTTACTATGCAAAAGGATAAGAGAAATCAAAAGAAGAAAGGAGCATACAAAGGGGGAGGGAGAAAGAGAAAAGTGAATAAAAAGAAAGGAAGAAAAACCTGAGAGGGAATGGAACCAACACTGACTAAGGAAAGTGCGGGTATTTTGCTGATCCTCCAGTGTCTGGTGCTTGCTATTGCAGCCATGGAAAACCCTTTCATTCAAACAAGGGCAGCTAATAACAAGCCCTGCCTTACAACGGTCCCACCTATTTTCTGAAAAGTTCAGCAGATGCCAGAGGAAGTACTGGTGAGTACCATAGTGCCATGTTGTGGAACCTCAGTTTAGACACTCATCACCAGCGCAGTATTTGTCCAGGCTACAGACCTCTAATGTGTTAAGCACGCATAGCCGTTTTGTACTGGAACAAACCAAGTTTAAACAAGATGCTGGGTCTGTGCAAAGTTGCATAAGTAAGTTCTTCTTGCTGGCCAGCACCATGTTTAAATCAGGCCTCAGAAATATGCATAGATGGAGAGATATAACGGCAGAATTGCTAATTCTAGCTATGTATTCTCTGCCATATGACCCATAATCTCATCTCTCAATGTAGAATACAAAGGGTTCCCCCCCACCCGCACATACCACGTGTCTTCCAATGAGCTTTGTGGCTTTTTTAATAGTTCCCAGGCAGTCTCCTATGGAGGCAACTACTGGGTCAGATCTGCTTCGCTTCATTACATAAGGTACCATCAGGTAATACCTGGGAATATGCTATGGGAATACATATTTGATGTCTGTTCAGCTGCACACATTTTTCTCTGGTGCAATTCTAGTTATGCATAATGCTTTCCCTTCCCTCTGCCATGAGTATTGTTCGATTAATGTTGAAGACTGCAACTTAAAGCCCTATGCTCTTTTATGAGGAGTGTATGCTGAACATAATTGGAAAGCACTTGTGCAAGCCACCAAACCCTAGAATTACCTCCGACAAGATGCTACACACTTTATGTTGCGTTTGGGCCTTAAAACCTAATCAAACACTAGACATTATGTATTTTTCTCTTATTCAAATGTGTGTACCTGGAATCACCTGATCCAGATAAAGTGCTACGAGTAGGTAAAGCATACTGTCCAGGGCCAACAGCAACAGAGCAATAACCAGTGGATAAGGACCATAAGTTAAACTTGAGAAAATAGCCCCTTCTTCATAATCTTCTAAGTGCATAACCTGCAAACAAACAGGAAACCTGAAGATACTACAGTACAGCATGACTATACTAATAAAAATAAGATAGCTCTACATAAATATAGGTATATTACAAGTCAGAGTCTCTTGGAGATAGTACAGTATACATACAGTGCAAAACTGCTACAGAAGCTGTTCATTACAACTGGTAGCTGTTGCCTTAAGCAGGCTACACAATGACTGTGCTCAATAAATTGTGGAATGAGATTAATTTGCACTATGTATCTGTTCTAACATTGTCTGAAAAAGTCAAAATTCATCAATGACAAAGTAACAAATACAGAATGTTTAATAGTAGGTGACTAATCATTTTATTCTGATATATAGCATTTATGGTATCTTGTGTATGAACCAGTGAAGCTACTGTTCCTATAAGACTACATACAATAGTATGAAGTAAATGAAATACTTTACTAACCTGTGCAATACCAACTAAAAATGTGCACTGACACAGAGGGCTAAGTAACCACACAAGAGACTTTGGAAAATCCTCCAAAATGACAATGGTCAGTCCCACAAAACCAAATGCCAAGGTTGTCAAAGATTCAACTGTACCAACGTGCTTTGATTTTTTGAAAAGTGGCGTCAACATGAATGCAAAGAAAACCTAAACAGAAATTTTAAAATAATTATTGCTAAAGAAGAAATTGGCTTGCTTAATACCTGCTACAGGCACTATTCTTTAAAAATTATTATTCAAGGTCTGAAATAATCTAAATGGCCAAAACAAAGTTCAAGTCGCAACGTTATTGTTGTGTGACTTCTACAGTATAAAACAGGTGCCTGATTCTGCAGTGTGTCACTATGTAAAACTTTTATGCTAAGGACGGGGAAGTGGGGATGTTGCATTTTCATAGGAAATGTAGGGGGTTTCCCGGTCACTCAGTACAATTCTAGATCCATTAAAATCAATGGCAGTTGAACTGTAGCCTTAAGTGGCCACTTAGAGAAACCCTTTTAAGGTCTTCAGGTTGAAAATACATATTACGGTTAATCTAACAAATGTTACCCTACTACTCAGCAAAGTCTGAAACCTTCTCCTAGCCCTGTAAGGTATAGCCACCATTAGGCCTTTATGTTTGGGTTTATCACTCTTCTTAGGCTGTATGTTTTGGCAGACCCCTAGCATGGCCTGCTAAAAGCAATGTGCTTGTTTTAACTACATCCACCTGTGGCTTTTGGCTGTTAAGAGAACCTCCTTGGGAGTCTCCCTAAGTTGTTTCAACCTACCAGTGCCGATTAGCTTAGTGTGTCCTGATTGGCTAATGGGTTCATGGGCTGAAGCAAGAATATCTGAAAGCATGCCTCAATCAGAGAGCCAGAGGCCGGCTATTCTATCAACAGGTGAGAAGAGGCTACATCTTCTATCCCCCCACAATATGGACTGTCTGGCACAGGATGGACTTTCTCTTTCAAGCCTGTGAGCAAGAACTACATGACGAACCTGCCTCTGATGAGCGAGCCAGCAAGCTTTCAATGTATAGTAAGATAGCCTTTAGCCAGATGTAGTTCCGTATTATTTTTTCTTTTATTTGCCTTGCCATTGCTTGTGTCTTGAGAATAGTTCCTGCCTAGCATACATTCTTTGTAACTTGAGCAGTTTACTAAAACTGGAATATTTTCCTACCTTCTAGTGACTGGAGTTTCTTACTGAGTATATGCAGATAACCTTAGAGGAGAACCTGGGAAGCTGAAAGCCTCTGGTAAAATGTCTAGAACCCTTGAGGCTCCTGGCTGGCCCAGGTGGCTGTGGTTTCAGTGCCTGGGAGCAGAAGGGCTCTCTAGGACCATACAGGCCCAAGTGGCCTTCCTGCAACAAAAGGCTCTTCCTTTGCCAGAAGAGCCAGGTCCATTGCAAGAAGGCTCCTTGTAATAAAAGAATGCTTCAAACTTTGCTGAACAGAGTGGTAGGATATAAGACAATACTTACTAGGGGAAGGGTTATGTAGTTAGTAGCCATTCCAATACATTCAACATGAAATGAGAGAATATCTGCCGAAATATGTAAGCAGCTGTAATTATTTGGGAACTGTTATTTACTGAGGTAAGGTGCCAGCCAATGTTCCCTCTAATTTTTTTCTCTGACTGAGCACAGCAGTTCACATCCTGAGCAGAATCTAACTGCTGTGATCTTAAAATGGGCAATGGGCAGTGCAAGACCCTGTGCAGCTCCAGGCTGCTGCTGAGTGGGGCTTCCTGTGTTAATGCGCAGCCACTCACATGCAAAGGTTAGAAGGAACATTGGTGCCAGCTTCCATTCAGAGCAGAGCAAAGCATAGAGAAGCTATTTTTCCAAGTATGTTAACTGCAAGAGGGACTGTTAAAACACAGTGCCCTCAATATATAAACAGTGAGTACACACACATACATACACACACTTACGGAGGATATTCCATATAGGAAAAAAAGAAGAAATATCACAAAGCTGCTACTTTTGGGGAAAAGTGAAGAGAATGTTGCAATGATCGACATGAGAAGGGACATGACAAATATCAGACTGGTGTACAGTAGGACCCAAGAAAGCCTGGAAAAAGAAAAACATAATGAAGGTTCATGAAGTCAAATTCATCTGCATAACTATAGACAGGTTACTTACCTGTAACTAATGTCTTTTAGTGTTATCTGTGCACTCTCACAACTGGATTCTGAGTCTGCACAGAATAAGTGCAGAACTTTCTAGAGATTTAGTTGAGCTGGTACTCTCTCTCTACAAGACCCTCTAAGATTTCTCTGAGTGAACACGTTCCCATTCTCTAACTTCTGACCCACAACAGAGGCACTAGCCCTACAAGAGGAGGGTTGAGTTGTTTAACTGCACAGATAACCACTTGAATCATATTAAGCAAAGTTAAACAACTTCTTCTTTGTGTTTTTTGTACAGTCCAACAAGTTTATAAATGGTAAGCTGATATAGCAGTTACTGAATGCTGGATGCATCACTGAAAGAGGCTCTGTAGAACAATACTGCCAAACACAGCATCAGTATGAAACTTCATACTGGGTAAATTATGCTTAACAAATATGGAAGAAGCCCACATAACATTTTTGCACAATTCATACTGGGTTATTCCCCAAAAGAAGCTGAAGACACCATCATACCTTCAGGAGATGACATTAGGAGTGGCATAACAAAGTGGCACCAAAACCATGGAATTCCCTCCCCAGGGAGATTAGTGTGTGTCTCCCTACACCCTGGGTGAAGATGTTTCTGTTTTGTCTGGAATTCCTTTCTTGACACTCCTCCTTGTTTAATTGCTGATTTTACATGTGCACACTGTTTTAAGGACGATTTGTATTGTCTTTTAAACTGTTTGCCAGCTTAAGGTCCTAACTGAGTAGAAAGGCAAGAAGCAATTGTTTTAAAGAAATAAGCAGCTTGTGCTTCAAAATTATTCTGGAAAATTCGTGTCTAAGAAAAGAAGTTTCCCTTAGAAAGAGTTGCTCATATGAAGAATACAGGACATTTAGATATAGTCCCCAGAATACCAGGTGGGGCTCAAACTGGGCTTTTCATAGGCCAGGCCAAGCATCCTACAACTTGTGTCACAGAGCCGGCTTCAGTATATATAAAAAAGGAATACCTGGAATCTCTGAAACTAAAGGCACCTTCTGGGCAGCAATTTCTACTCCAGCTTCAGTCATCACCTAACTTGTATCAGCACATGACACTTGAGATCAACTGGGACACTTTTAAGTTCTATGTAGCCCTGCCTTGTTGTTTCTTTAGTCACAACTTGCACAAATTGCCAAGCTATGACATGGCCCAGACTGAGTTTAAGCTTGTCTGTTTGCCAGGTGTGGTTCATCACCCAAGCAACTGGTTGGAGCACCTAACAGCCAGAGGAGACTGATGTGACTTGTACCTATTCTCTCCAAGACCCATGCCACTGCTGCCGATGTTTAAGGGGGCTTGCCTTGAAGAGACCCCACAGGATCCGTCACCCCCATGCAAACTGATGATGATGACTATTTCAATGTATTAATTACCCTATCCCAGCTTATACTGGCTCTGGGCGATATACAAAAGGCAAAATGCCATAAAACAAAATATAGATTTTAAAATATCCGTATATAGCTAATAAGAGATAAAACCAGAATAAAAGATCCCAGGTGGCAATTTACAATTTTCTATTCCCATTCCGTTTGAATCTTTGAAGTAGACCAGAAACTAGAATCCTGCAGCTGTCATGACTTGGGTCCTATACCTGTAGACTGGCCTGAGGAGCAGTCATGGGAAGCAGCTATGGATGTACATGTTCCTGTCCTATTCTGCTAGTTCCACCAAAGCTATGTTCAAAAATGTAGCCAAGCCTCTCAGGGAATGATGACACCTTGGAAGAGGAAGGATTTCAGGAACTAAATAGACCCAGCAGTAGAAAGAGAACCCACCTCACAGTCCTTGCCATACCTGAAGGCCAGGGGACCCAGGGCCCCCAGAGGAAAGCCCCAAGTCCACCACAAAAGAAAATATTGTATCTGGGGAGCCAAGAACTCCCCCCCCCAGTCTACCTTCACCACCCAGCATTACCCTTGAGACCTCAAGAACAGAGAAGGTAGGAGCCTGAACGGAAACCTGAACTAGAAGACAGAATAGGATGAGATACCCCGGGCATTTGGGGTATCCCTTCACACAACCTTAATCAGGAGGAGCAAGTCGAATCCTGAACTTTCCATGATCAGGGCTGCTCTCAAGTTAACAGGACGAGTGAGGTAACCAACTACTACAAGAAATTGGTTCATGCTCAATTAATCTGCCTGGAAAGCCCGGCTGCTGATCTGATTCTGGCTCTCCAGTCTCTTGCCCACCTTCCAAGTTCCGAGTTCTGTGGACAACTCTTGTGCTGATCTATGCTCAGCTGCCAGCCCTGATGGTACTTGACAATTTGGAAATGGAATAGAGCATGAGTGACAGCAAAGGTAGGCGTCTTTAAGTCTAAAAGGACAGAGGATCAGATGCAGCTTTTGCAATGGGTGTTACAGAAAATGTGAAATGATCATAAATTTGAAATAATCACTGAGGGAAGGCTTAGCAGTAAAGTCTTGTGGATGCTAACAAGTCTAGAACCTCATGAAATCTATAATCCATAAATTCAATTCACTGTACAAGATGCAGTTACAATTTTTTAAATGTTTATGCAGAAACTAGTCTCCATATGATCAAAGATGGAGACTCACAAACAGTCTCCATATGGTCAAAGATGGAGACACCTCTCTGACTCAGAAATGCAACCATGACTGCTATGCAGTTCGTAAAGACCCTTACAGTGCTTCTGGGGCTCTGAATGGCAGAATTTGATATAAGCAGCAACTGTTTATGATGGTAAAACATAGTAGCAGTTGCTGTCTGATATATGAAAATAAACATCCTAGAGATTTATGAAACCAGATAATAAAAAATCATTGGAGAAAGGATGAATATTGACAACAGAGAATACAAGTGGTGAACCAGTGGGGGTGCAGCCTGGGAGCCCCTCTGGGCCTGGTGGCGGCCATGCAGCCCAACTCCCAGGTTGCACCGCTGCCAGCTGTATGGCTCCTGGGCCACATGCCCACCACCAGGCCCAGAGGGGTTTCCCAGGCTGCGCTGCTGCTATTGGACTCAGCATGGCTCCCAGGGCCAAAGATGACCCAAAGGTAAGTGTGTTCTTTGCGCTTTATGCTACTTTACTTTTGTGGGGATTTAAACCTCCCATGGCTGTGGTCACATGGAGCATTTGCCGTGCTAACGATACAGATAGTAGGCGGATTTTCTGGGTGCGATCACACCGCAACATCTGGGAAGCGTAGAGCTCCCGTGGCTAACCCGAGGCTTCCCGCCGAAGATGCGGAGTAAAAAACTAGTACCTCCGAGGTACTAGTTTCCGGAAGCCGCAGGGCAAGGGTGGGCGTCTGATCGCGTTTCCGGTGGTCTTACGTGGCATCCGCCGCCTGCCGCTGTTTGTTGCACACAAGGGTTTTTTGGGTCTCCCAAGTCTCCGCAGGTTGCGCAACAGCACCCAACAGCGCATGCGCACAAAGAGCGATTGCTAGTGCGATCGCGCGGCACGGCTTCTGTGCCGCGCTGCAGAATACCCGTCTGGTCGGCATCTCCCCCCTAACCACGGGACCTTGACCAGGACGTGTGCTCAGGCGGCCGCGCGTTAGTTTCCTCCAGGGCAATTAGCCACACCTCCCCCCAGCGATATCCGGCCCGTGTGACCGGGGCCCATGTATTTATTGTTTAACTTTTCTGCAAACCTGGGAAGTACCCCAAGTTTGCTGGAAAATGTGTTTAGCCTCCATGTGGCCCCGATCTGCAGATTTAGCTATCCGTAGATGGGGGCCACGCGTGGCTAACAGTATATAGATAATGCTGATTTAGCTATCTGTAGATGGGGGCCACACGTGGCTAACAGTATATTTGTCCTCATCCTGCAGAGGGCCCAGATCCATCATCTGAATAGAGAATTTCTGTTGATACAGAAATTTCAGAGGCATCAGTGTACTTTATAGTGCTGGTACTATTTGTATCAGGAATTGTGAAATCAGACCAGAAGACATTGTAACAATGTGTATTGGGATGGTGGAAAGTGGAGCAAAAGAGGCATATGCAACAGGAATCACAGACAAAGGTAGTGCTATCAGTGGAACAGCAGAAGATGCAGAGAAAGTTTGCACAGAAGTTATTAACTGTACTGGAGCCTGCAATAAGACAGCAGATACAAGCAAAATAAGCTTAGATTGTCCCAACAGACTCTTCTGTCTGTCCCTTCAGTCAGGATGGCTCATTTTATGTCAACAAGGAATCAATTTTTGTGTTGCTGCTCCACCTTCCACTCTCCCAGACCATGCCTGTAAAGACTCTTCCCTAATGGCATTTGGAAAACACCTCTAATTTTGAGCATCTTTTGTTAGTGGTTAATGCTCTGGATGAGCATTTCTCCATCTTTCATTTGGTTTGGACAGTTGATTTCCATTAGGCAAAAGTATTTTGTACTGAGTTGATAAAGTCACCTTGGGCAAAAAATGGGGGGGAAATGACTATAAAGGTAGCAAATTCATGTTCACATCTGGGACCAGTTCTGAGATTTGAATATAGGCCATAACTGATACACCCCTTCTTAGTAGCTCATTAGGAGAAGGGTTCAATAAATATTTATTAGTTTCTCAATCTTTTGTCCCCTTTTTGGTCTCTGCTGACTTGCGGGACTGTTTGACATGTCTGAAGCACTAAGAATAGAAGCCAGTATAGCAAGGTCAGCAGTCAAGACTAGTAAATTCAGAGAGGCCAGAGCACCAATACTGGACAATGTAGAGGGCTCACCTTGAACTGGGGAAAGCTTAGTCACTTTCTAGTAACAACCACAGCTATCACCTTCAGGAAAAGTAAACATGAACCATGGCTGCACAATAGGAAGACAACCACCACAGGAATGGCACTTAGAAATTAATCTATAGCACCAAGGCATATGGCAGAATCCCAGAAAAACCCTAATACAAGGTAACCATAACACAGTGCGTAATAAAATGAAAACACACTGATTAAAAACTAAGAAGCTCTACAAGTGAACTCCTGGAGAAATCTCTCAGCAGTCATCAGAAGAAAACTGTACAGAAAGGCACTAGCCTCATCCTTCAGAGCACACTTAGAGGGGCTTGCCTCTCTATTCAAGGGGTGGGACAGGTATGCCATGCCAGCTCCTTCCACCAAACTGCCTGAAAGTTTACTCTGCACAGAGACAGAACCCAATTATTGAAGGTCACAGAAACTAAGGAGAATAAGCAAAGACAAAGGCATTAAATGTTAAACAATGCTATACCAGTAGATAGTATCCAAATGTGTTCAATACAAATTTCAAAAAGGATGGAGCGCAGAGTTCTAGCACGTATATTTACATAACTAGTCCTGTGACCTCTGAAAATACTAGCAGACATTACATTAGCCAAAATCAAGCCACAAGAGTATAGAAGGGGTGTGTGCACGGAGGTTTCCTGCATTTCTCTCCATTCTGGCAGCCCTTCTGACCCCAAGAAAGATTGTTTCTGTGGATGCAGCACCAACAGCTGCATAAATTGGTCCCTTGTTGAGCGGCAAACCTACAATGATGCAGCAGCAGCAGAACTGGAAGAAGCAGCAGAAGACAGCCAGTCTACTGCGGGCCTGATAGAAGCCCTCTGGGGGGCTGATGCTGCCCCCAGGCCACATGTTTGACACCCCTGACTTAATCCTTTGTGCCTTACAGAAGAAAGTTCTTCCTCCATGATGGATGCCCTTATCTCCTTTAAGAAGGTATCTTAGAATATTTTTCTTGCTGCCATTAGCTGCTTTTTGATATCTCATCTCCAATACTTCGTGCTTCAGTAACAAGTGCTGAATAACAGGATTGGGCTATAAAGGATCCTTTGTCCACCATTGTTCCAACCTAAGAAAATAGGACACAGATCCCAGTTCAGTTTACTCTAAAGTCCTAGAGTTTATTGAAATCTTCCTGGTGTTACATGCGCATGACCTTCAAGATTACTTAGGCCCGTTTCTCTTTCAAAGTTTTACACTTTAGATCTCAAGCCCTTTAAAAGTCCCTCTAAAAACAAAATGTGCAGCCTGATCCTAAGCATACTTACTTAAGAGAAAGTTCTACTGATTTTAATGAGATTAATTCCCAACAGTACATGTTTACAGGATTACACTTGTGACACACTTCTTACAAAGAAACACCTTTGGTATTTAATGTGGTATCATCTGCTTACACTTTCTCTCCCAGTGATGATACAAAGGCAACTATGTAATGGAATATATGGCACCTGAAAAAAACACTTGTTCAGTTATATGGGTGATACTAAGCAAAGAAAGAAAAGCATACAGATATTAATGTAACAACATTTTTCTAACTTGGATCAAGATATCAGAGAGAGAGACTGAATTATAGCATGTACTTCACTCTCTTCTAACCCTAAAGAGCCAATAAGCCTTCAGGTCTAGAAGATGGAATGAATGCACTGTGCAGATGCTATAGCATGAGTGGAAGAAGTAAGGGAAGAGGATGAGTGCAGATGAACAAACACGAGGATGGATTACAATTTACAACTAACACTAATTATTTGGAAGGATGGACTGAGAATTACTGTATTTTTTGGACCATAAGACTCACTTTTTCTTCCAAAAAAAGTGGGAGGAAAAGTGAGTGCGTCTTATGGACCGAAAGTTCAGAATATTTTTTTCCCTGTTTTCCTCCTTTAAAAACTAGGTGCGTCTTAAGGTCAGGTGCGTCTTATGGTCCGAAAAATACATATTAGGTATCTGTTTCTGAAAAAGGTCCAAAATTGATGGATAGTTAAGGCAATAAATAACCTTTTTCTTTAGTTACAAGAACCTAACATTATAGTGGTCTATAAGGATTATTCTACTTAACTGACTATTTTACTTTCAAGTTAAATGGCCCAAAACTATAAGAACAAGAGATCGGTGCCAAAAACATCTTGCATTAATTGATCCTCAAGGTAAGGTCAAAACATTATGAGCGTCTTCTCTTGAGATAGAGAAACAATAAGTCATCTATCCTGTTTACGAAGTCAATAAAACACATTCTCACATACCAAAAAGCAGTGTCATGAAGACCCATAATCATTAAAAATTCCTTCAACTTCTTCTCCTTTTCTGCGACAATATGGGTTGCCAAATAACAGCCGAAGGGTGAAAATGCAATTACTAGGTAAATTAAAATGATTGCACGAGGAAAATTATCTATTTCCATAATGGCAGACTCTCCCATCATGACCACATTTGTAAATTCCAGGTCTTCCAAAACTGAATGATTAGTCTTCAACTAAGAAAAAGAGGGAAATGTTGAAATCAGTTTCTGTAAGATTACACTGGCAGCCATGACAATTCAAGCAAGAGCCATTCAAGACTTGGCAGTAAACTGCCATGGTAAAGCACTGAGATGCATTTTGATTTTTTTAAAGCTCAAACATCTTTTACACAAAGAAAAAACTATGTATATAAATAATACAATAATCTGAATGGAAAAGAAAAATACAGTAATACAAAATGTTCAAAACTAATTACCTAATTCTAGTTTCTGACTACAAGGCAGCCATACTGAGTCTAACTCATCTATGCATTTACCTTTCTGTAGTGAGGCCCCGGTCACATGGGCCGGAAAACGCAGGGGGGAGGCATGGCAATTTGCAATGCCACAATTTGCCACGCGACAACACGATCAGACGCTTCGGCAACACCCCATGGTTCCGGCCCTCCGCGTGTGCGCCGCAACGCAGACGACCGGAGGGAAAAAGCTGCGCCGGCGCAATCACACCATGGGGATGTGGAGGCAGTCTGTGGCAAACAGTTTGCCACCACCTTTGTTGAGGTATTTTTTAAACGCACATTTTCGGCGGCATGCCATGGGTTAGCCACGGTGTGCTCCACTTCCCAAATGTTGTAGTGTGATCGCGGCCGAAAAATCCGCCATCCACTTGTGGCTCTCCCGCGGCAAATTCGCAGTGTGAACAGGGCCTAAGTTAATTTAATTAAAAATATGTTTCCTTAATTTTTTCGGTCCTTTCCTGGATATCTGGAGATGCTTCCTTTTTCTTGTATCTAGCATATAGAATTCTGGCTATAGTAATCATGTGTAGTATCACGGCCTGGTAACTTTTAGGGAAATGCATGACATTATTTAATATCAACATTCCAGGAAGAAAAGGTATGTACACACCTAAACCTATCTACATCTTTTCAACAATAGTTCTCCAATATTTAACAGCATGTGGACAAAGCCACCATATATGTAAAAATCCTACTTTGGATTGTTTACAGAACTGTTACTCAACAAGCCATATTGCAACATGTTTTTTTGGGTTCGTATGCCAAAGACCATTAATTTTCAAGGTATTTTCCTTAATTGGGTACGAATTGAGATGGACAGACCATATAGGGAGGTTTAATTGCAGACCTGTTCTGGAATTGTACAACCAAGAATCTTACACCAATTCTCGCGAAAGGTATTGTTCCATTTAGCCACATTTAGAAGCAAGTGAGAGATCTGAGAGATAAGGTATTTACCATCATTCATTAATATTTGCTCAAACTCAGAACAATTTTTCCAGTTCCAGTTGAGTCTGATTAGGCATTGACAGGCTGTGCTCTACACCACAAGGGAGTATTGTTTTAGTCGATTTTAGCCTTAGTTTTAAATAGTTTTGTCTGTATTCTGTTTTTAATTCTTCCTTTCTCCATTTTGGTGAAAAGGGGGGACAGTGAGAGTTTTTAATAAATGAGGAGTGAATGTTTTCTCAGCAGCTTTATCACAGGCAGTGCCAGTAGCTATATACATTGGAAGAGTTCTCCCTCAACTGATTAATGCTGTTGTTGTTGCCGCTATTTATCTGTGTTGTGTACTTAGGGCTCTGACTCCTAGGTAACTTCCTGTTTTGAAACCCTTTTTTTCTTTCCTTTTTACTTACATGGTGTTAGGCAAAAGGTTTATTGGCTTCTGGTAGGGTTGCCAAATACCTTTTGTTCTGCAGCGGGGGGCTCCCGGACGGCGTCTTCTGCGCGTGTGTTTCCCCCTCAGATGGCTGTGGCCCCACCCCCAGCATGCCCGGTGTCAGCACGTCACCTCTGGCTGATGTGCACGCCGGGGTGGGGTTTCCCCCGGGGCCCAATTCCACAGTGGCGGAAATCGGGCCTCCAAAGCGGGGGGAAATCCGCCCCCCGGGGGGAATTGGCAGCCCTAGCTTCTGGTGGGGGTTGGGTAGGTGAGAGAATAGTTCAGTTCTGTTCCTAGTTATTTATGTTATGTGATATCATTATAAATAGGGAGAACTGAGCAAGTTGTATTTATTTATATAGCTGGTTACCAATTACTGGTTGGCACGTCCTTTTGCAGGAAGTTATAGCAAAATGACCTTTTAGTTTTTAAGTTTCCCTCTCCCTTTCTCTCTCCTGTGTTTGCGTTTTTAAGCTTTTTAAAGTCCCTTTAAAGTTGTTTTTAAGCTGCTTTGTCCTACTTTAGGGTACACTGTGTTGAATATCTATTAGATATACTGAATATATCAGATTTAAATTAGTGATTACTGAAATGAGTAAAAAGTGGGCCCATACTTTTGATGATGATTATAACATGAAAACAAAACAAAGCAGATTACTTTTTTTTTTAACTAATGTTTCTCCATTTCCCCTAAAAAACAGGTTTGAACCTATGATGCACCAGAGTCAGGCGGAGGATGAAGAACTTGGTAGATCCTGTTTGAACCAAAGCAATTCATTTGTTTCAGTGGGGAAAGAAGCTGTGTTAACATCTGACCAGAATGTTGGGAAGAGGTCTCAAGATCTCAGTCTGCTGGCATCACAGACAACACTTATAGCAGAGACACTGAAACGTATTTATAAGAGATTAGAGTTTATCACATACTATCTTCTTAAGACGAAATCCCTGAATCATGAACATTTATTATAAAGACACAGGAAGCCACTCTACTCAGAAGTAGCTAAAAAGGATGTAATATCTATAGAAAGGCTTTTAAACAAAAACAATAAGGATTTGCTCCCCTTCCCTCTTTAAAAATGAGAATGTGCTTGAGGTGAGCAATCTTCAGATCATAGTGACTATTACTTTAAAGGACAATGGATAAATTGGTGGGGAAAGTGGAACACTAAAAAACACTTATCTTATTTGTTGAATTTGTTTATTCAATCAATTTAAAACTGACTGAAAAGTTACAATGGTCAATTCAGGGAGAGAGAGATATTTTAACTTCCCTTGGCCAGTGAGAAGCCACATGATCCAAGCCTGACAAGAGAGAAAATTCCTATTCCTCTTGAGCCAAGAATTATAATTAATCCAGGACATATCCCCAAGCTGTCGGTACCAAACTCCTTAGCACCAAAAAACTGACTATCTGGGACTCACAGATTCCATATCTTAAATTGGAATAGAGCTGGCTGTCTTTAAGATGATACTGGACTCTTTCTACTTCTATTAGAAACCACAACATTCAAAAACCAGTGGGGGAACATTTTAACCTTCCAGGACATTCAGTTGCTTATCTAAGAGTAGCCGTTCTCTTACAAAGGAATTTCAAAGAGAGATTAGAAAGAGAGATTACTGAACTGCAACTGATTATGAAGCTCAAGACAATGCAAACTCTTGGACTGAACTGAGACCTAGGTTTCACCCCTCATTACCAATGCCTGCTATTGTCGTTTGGAGTTTGAAATCACTTCACTCTCCAAGATATAAGGATGGATGGACTCACATTCTAGCTGTATCTGAAGAAGTGAGCAGTGACTCAGGAAGGCTCATGCCTTGCCACAAATTTTGTTAGTTGTTAAGGTGCTACTGGACTCTTGCTTCCTTCCATTAATAAAGAATGCAAGCGGTGTTGTTGAGTTTCTTCCCCACCCTGCATCTGTCAGAACTGGAAAGGGGGATCTTTCTAAGTGCCATGGGACTCCATTTCTTTCTCTCTCTCTGGCTTTCCCTCCCCCCTCCCTCTCTCCCTCCCTCCGTCTGAAGGAGTGTGCATGCACACAAAATCTTATACCTGGAATAAAACACTGCTGGTCTTAAAGGTGCCACAGGACTCTCTCCCTCACTCTGGCTCCACTCTGGCTCTTTCCCCGAAAGGATGAGGAGGGGGAGCAGCCCTCAGCCAATTGAGGGAAAGGAGGCTTGGCTTTCTTTCTCTCCTCTGGAAGCAGAAGAGAGCAGGGCAAAAGTGAGCTGTGATGCAGGAAGCAGGAAGGAGCCAGTTGCTCACGGGCCGGATAGGAGCCCTGCAGGTGCTGGTTCCGGCCCATGGGCCATATGTTTAACACCCCTTCTCTAATTGATCATTCATCCCCTTACACCCTGGAAACTCTTGTCTACTTTGCTGAGTGATAAGGATCCTAAAATCACTCTGGCAACAGGAAAATTTGTTTCAGTCCTTCTAGCCCCTGCATTCAAAAAATGAGGAATGAGAATCTTCTGCTGCTCAAGATCTGTTAATCAATGAGCTTCTAAGGGAATACAGGAGGTATAAAGAAGAGCATTTTTTTAAAGTTTAGACCACTTATAATATTATTATACAAGAATCTTCTAAGCTGAATATATTCAAAAGATCTGACCAGACAATGCACTCTCAAACAATCATACATTATCATCTCATTGTTGACTATTAATGTTCTGTAAGAATCATAACCTGTAAGCAGCACACCAGCCAGGCCCTGCTAACAAGGGGGAGGGGCCCACAAGAGCATGAGACACATTTAACAGAGGAAAGAGAACAGCTGGGGGCCAGGCTGATGGGGGCGAGAGGTGAACTCTGGAAGAATAAAGAAGGAGAGCAACAGCCAAGAGGTAGGAGAGAACCAGCTATGGAAGAAGAGACGCCGGCAGAGTTCAGAGAGGAATGGAGATTGCAAATAGCTAACAACGGAGACTTTGGGGAAGTGCCTCTCTCCAATGTCAGAGGACAGACTACTAAGCAGCCAGGAGGGGTGTGGCCCACCCAGGAGAGCTGATGGGGATGCCTAGTCCATGGGGGTGTAAGAACTCTAGAGGAACCTCCCTGCAGGCTTCCCAGGACTCAGGTTGGACTTGAGGGGGGGAAGGGCTCACCCAAGGCTGCAGGATTCACTCTGGGGAAACAGAGGCAGGACTGGTCACTGTATAGGCCTGCCAAATCCCCCCGGGGGCGGATTTCCCCCCGCTTTGGAGGCCCGATTTCCGCCACAGCGGAATTGGGCCCTGGGGGGAACTCCGCCCCCCGAAGCTGCGTCACCAGAGGTGATGCAGGACGTACGGCACGTTCCCGACGATCTGGGCCACGCCCCCAA